TGTGAGAGAGAGAGTGTATATGTGTATGTGTGTGTTTGTCTTTGAGTGTGTGTGTGCGTGTACGCGCGCGCGCGGGGTGGTGCGCGAATACGTAGGTAAGGGCAAACATTCATTTTTCATCCACTCACAGTAATTCCGTAATGCATGACGGAGGAGTACTCATAGGGCACGTTCATCTGATTGACCTCCTTGGCTGTGTACTTGTTGAACCAGATCCGCATGTGGGGGCTGACGTTGTGGTAGAGAATCTCGATGTAATTGTCTCTGTCTGGTAATTGATGCTCGTGGACGAGGCCCATGGCGTGTCCGATCTCGTGAAGGTACAGTCCTTTCTGCGCTCAGAAAATAGGTATGGTATGGTAAGGGTTTATAAAACACTATTAGGTTATAATTTAAGGGGCGGGATCTCCTTGTTTTAACGTCCGTCTCCGATAGGACCTAGCCAAGTGGGAAGTTCGGATGCTTAACCCCCCCCCCCCCCACAACATTATCCTGATCTTTCCTCGTCACACATCTGTTTAGGCTAATGCCAGTATCAATTACAAAAGACACATGTAATGAAACAATAGTTATCCGTGTACGACGCTCGTCAACAATGAGTGACTGTTTTAGACAATATCGACTGTATAATATTTTCATAATTTTTTACGACCTTGAACACCTTAAACTCTCGCTGGAAAAATACATGGCAAAAGAGGTAGAAGAGTAAGATTGACCCCTTTATTGGTTGGACTTTTCCATCTAAGTTTGTATGTTTGTAGGTATGTGCCTTCGTCACAAGCATAGAGTACGACCAGCACGCTCATAATGAAGGAGATTATTATGTAGTTGCAAGCGCCGTAAAACTCTTGCCACCAGAGGCCAGCCTTTCTTTTCAAGCTGCTTCATCTTTCCTATCTAACATCTATAATCTTTTTATCTCCCCTCCTTTTTTCGAGTTTGTTACTCTCTTGTAACACCTCTGATCTTCGGCACTTATATGAGCTTACTGTGTTGCAAGTGCCGTAAAACACTTACTATAACAAAACAAAAGATAATAACGTTGGGAATTGGAACCTGAGTCCCTCGCATTGCAGACATGCGTAATCCCACCCCAGCTAAGAGTGCGCGTGTGTTTGTGTATGTTGTTGGGGGGG